ATTATATATATGTATATATATAGATCTATACGTGTATATATATATATATGTAGATATAATTACAGTAGGTCATGCGAAAACAAAATTTTATATATACGCAAACATACATATATACACCCATGTAAATTTCATCAAAAGTGCAATCAAATCACCACCACCCTAGCAGATCTTCGCCAACACCACCAGGAATTCTACGAAAGGCCTTTCAGCGATTCCGGATGTGTGGGTAAGTCATTTAATTCCTAATTTAGAAATTTGTATATGTATTTATGTGTATGTCACGTTAAATTTCTCCTAGCCGGGGCGCAGAAATGTTTATCAATTACCCATAATGTTAATCCAAATCATTATGTTGTTTCTCCTTCTCGCTGTGTATTACGTGGTTGTTGTAGGGTCGGCGTAAGCTAAGCAGGCAATCGTATAACACTTAATCCAAGCGTATAACAGTCGGCCGCCGACTATATTTTTGTTGCCATTCATGATGTACCTTGTTTCTGCTCATGATTCAAGAACTACAGGTTGTAGCAATCGTACAAAAACAACATTTACCGTTGGTATGAACTCCTTGAGTCATCAACATCTTCTTTATGTATTCGCATTCGTATGTATATGTATACCCTGCATACCAGGATTTCATAGAACTCTGAAAGGTTTCACAATTTTTTTTAAGGATTTTCTCTAAGAAATCGTACAGAAATTTCTTTACTAGTTCTTGTCAACCGCTTCATATGTTTTTCTTTAAAGATTCCTAAAAGAATCGTAACAAATTTCCGATACTCTCAAAGATTTCGGTAGCATTTGTTTGCAGGGTATATATTTACGTATATGTGTATGTATACGCGAATATGTAAACAAAGCAAAACGGACGATAATTTGACACAAGCGTGCTTATAAGAAGAAGCATAGCTTCTATCGATATCACCTGTAATTGATGCGCCTTGGTTTCTGCTTAAGCCGTCCTATTGTTGTCCTCTCAGTGAGTTTGACGAACACACGTATGTACATACACCTTGCTTTGTGTCAACGGGGCGGAATTCTAAAACCAGTTTTTGTTGTTACATATATGCTATTGCAAAATTCACTTAGAGTTATTTTTTAGTAAGCATGTTAATTTTCCTTGCGTTATGTTAATAGACAGAAGCACACTAATAGTGATAATGTGATGCGAGAAAAGAAAATAAAGTTACATGCGATATTTTTTTTTCGAATTAACGGCGAACTGTACATATCAACCCTAATTACTGGTTAAGCAGATTTTTATTTAGATAATTTAACAAAAAGAATAGTTCATAATTAATTGAAATAATTGGAGTTAAATTGTATTTCCAAATTTGAATTTCGAACGCTCCTATTCATAGTATAGTTCTGTAATACTTAGAGTATAAGATTTTTTTGTAGAATAAATATGTAAGTTCATCTGTACATCAGAATGTGCTAACTGCTTTTCTTATTTGTTGGTAATGTGGGCCGTTTAAAGTTGCACTGGGGATTTGGGGAAAAATGAAGTGCTACCCGAATCATTGGAAGGGAGGGCGAAGACAAGCACCCGCAATCTAATTCCATCTATGGATACTCTTGACTTTCCCTTGATTTTGACGTATAAGTAAGATCCGTGGCAGTTAGTTTTATGTGAA